AATTAGCTGGGCATGGTGGTGCATGCTTGTAATCCCAGCTACTTGGAAGGCTCAGGCAGGAGAATCACTTGAACCTGGGAGGCAGAGGTTGTGGTGAGCCTAGATCACACCATTGCACTTCAGCAGCCTGGGCAGCAAAACTCCATCTCAAAAAATATATATATATCACTATGGTGTCCAGGCTGGTTGTGAACTCCTGGGCCCAAGTGATCTTCCCACCACTTCCTCCTAAAGTGTTGGGATTCTAGAGCAGAGCACCATGCCTGTCCTACATTATTTTTTTGTTGTCTTGCTCTGTTGCCCAGGCGGGAGTGCAGTGGTGCGATCTCCGCTCCCCACAACCTCCACCTCCCAGGTTCAAGCGATTCTCTTAACTCAGATTACAAGCACCCGCCACCACACTCGGCTAATTATTTTGTATTTTTAGTAGAGATGGGGTTTCACCACGTTGGTCAGGCTGGTCTCGAAATCCTCACCTCAGGTAATCACCCATTTTGGTCTCCTAAAGTGCTGGGATTACAGGTGTGAACCACTGTACCTGGCCTACATTCTTATACTTTAGGCTAAAGACTGACTTTGAGGTAGACCAAGCCCAATATATTTTTCAGTACCTAGTTCACTTAACACGCTAAAGCCTTTCACAGCGGTTATCAGATTCCAAACCCTCCTTGTCTTGTAGGAACGACTGCGGCGGCTAAACCACAGTGTTGCCAAGGAAACAGCCCGCAGGAGAGCAATGCTGGATTCAGGAATTTACCCCCCTGGCTCTCCAAGCAAATAACAGATGAGCCTATGGCCTCAGTACAAGTACTGTTCTCCAGCTACCTTGTTTCAACAAACATGCAAAGATCCTAGGAGACAGTCCCTGTAGACCCTGGGACATTAAAAAGGCAGCCCTACAGTTTGTTTGAAGCACTTAGTCTTACCGGTTTATGTAGGGGCCCTACACACAGCCAGAATGAGGTTCCCTAAGGACTTATATTAATTATGGCTCTTGCTTCCTTCCACAAATGAGCTGAGGCCTTTTTTTTTTTTAAAGCTGCATACTTGAGGCTTACCTTCTTCAGGCCTAGTTAACCAGAGGGGCTTCCTTTGTATGTTACATGTCTGGTTACATGGGCCTGGACAGCATGTCCTCTACCTGTGACTTCTCATTTTCCTGTTTACACTGGGGATTTGGAGAGGGCAGGCAAAGTCAAAGTGAATGACTGTCTACCCACTTTTTTATTGCACTGGCTTGAATACAATAGCAGTATTGATAGAATCATTTTATTCAATAAATACTTAAAACAGTATTCTACTGTACTCTGGTATATGGAAAGGTTCCAGGAGTTTGTACTTTAATTCAAAGATAGCTTCAAATTGTGAGCTGAATATTTATAATTAAAAGACTCAACAAGAGTATACAAGGCAAAAGGAAGCAAAAAAGGTTGCCACATGCAAAGGAGGAAAAAAAAAAAAACCAACCAACGAGACCAAGAGCCCTACTAGGAAGTACTTTAATCGTTTTTCTTAGAAAAAAAATTTCCAGACACTTAACAGTTCACAACATTTCAACAGCAAAGTATTAGTTGAGAGAGGGGTTTTCAGGACTTGGGGATCCTAGAGTATTAGGAGGAAATGTTGGTATCCTCATTCATTATAGATGGATGGCAGGTCACAAATGGGAAACTGGCTGCTAAGCCTCTATCAAAACTCAGTGGAATGACACTTCTATGGAGTTTACTTTCCTTCCTGTTATCTTCCCTATCCCTCAGAAATGTCTACCACCATGTAAAGCCCAGTAGCAGCGAGCTTAGGCTCCAGTCAAGGGAAGGTAAGGTCACTCCTGAGTTTCCATGCTTTCTTCTTCCTCTCCTTGAGGTGGTTCTTCTGTATTCTCCTCTTCTTCCTCTCCTTCCTTCTTCTCTGGTGGCTTCTCATAAGCCTTTTCTGAAGGTGTTACTATCACTCCATCCCAGGTAGATATTTCAGAAGCAAGATCTTGAAAAGAGAAAAAGGTGATTTAGACAAGTAGCCCAGTATAAAAGTCATTATTTACACTGTGGAAATACTAAGGCATTTAAGTAGTGTACAGCTTTTTTGTAGAGCAGATTACAATACAAAATCCCTGACCCACAGTAGTCACTCACAGCTGGCATCACCCTCCTGGCCAAGGATCTTCCTAAAGCCACCATGTGAGAGGATTCGGACGAGAGTCTGAGCTGTATAGCAGACCATGTCCTAAAGTAGAGCAAAAGTGAGGGTAAGTTAGCAAGGAAAATCCAAGGGCCTTATTTGACTAATATCCTTCTGAAATAGAGATTAAGACAATTTTTAAAATCCCATAGTCTTTTGGAATCCCCAAACTCCTGACCCCTTAAAGATCATATTCCACTTTGCCTCTGACCAGGAGTATTCAAGAGTAAGGCAAAACAACCCAGTTCCTCTGTCCCAATACCTGCTGTTCTAGGGTCATGACTGTGTGTACTCTGAAGTTGCCACTCTCACAGGGGTCAGTGATACCCACTGAGCCTGGCAGGAACAGTCCTGCAGCCAGAATCTGCAAGCAGCGCCTAGAACACAAGGAGGTATGAGGTATTAAAGGAATACACAAAACATCTTACAACCAACCCTAAACCCAAGGCAGCATGCTGTACCTGTATGCAACGTTTAGGGCCAAAGGCTGTCTGGTGGGGTTGTTCATCACAGCATAATGACCCTGGAAAATAATAAGTCCAGTAGGTGTGCCACCAAAATGGCAATTCTGGTAACTAGAACTTTATTTATTTATTTATTTATTTATTTTTTTGAGACAGAGTTTCGCTCTTGTTACCCAGGTTGGAGTGCAATGGCACGACCTCGGCTCACCGCAACCTCCGCCTCCTGGGTTCAGGCAATTCTCCTGCCTCAGCCTCCCGAGTAACTGGGACTACAGGCACGCGCCACCATGCCCAGCTGATTTTTTATATTTTTAGTAGAGACGGGGTTTCACCATGTTGACCAGGATGGTCTCGATCTCTTGACCTCTTGATCCACCCGCCTCGGCCTCCCAAAGTGCTGGGATTACAGGCTTGAGCCACCGCGCCCGGCCCTAGAACTTTATTTTTTAAAGATAGGGCCTCACTTTGTCACCCAGGCTGGAGTGCAGTGGCACAATCATAGCTCACAACTCCTGGGCTCAAGCAACCCTTCTGCCTCAGCCTGCTGACTGCAAGCCACTACAACTGGCTTATCTTTTTTTTTTTTTCTTTTAGAGACAGAGTCTCGCTATTTTGCCCAGGCTAGTCTCAAACTCCTTGTTTCAAGTGATTCTCTGGCATCAGCCTCCCAAAGTGCTGGGATTACAGGCATCAAACGAAAACCTTAAATTGTCACAAAGAAAACTGGTCATTAATGCCTAAGTCTAGCTAAAATTTTCATGTTCAGAAGCAATTCTGAAATGGCTGCTCACTCATTTCTCTACTACCATGGTGAAATAGTAGCAGTCATGAGAAGAAAAAAGGATTCTATAACTCGGTAACTACTCATTTAATTAAATATACCAAAAAAATAAACTTTGAACTTTTTAAAAACAAGTTTCTCTGACTCATATAATTTTGAATTTTTATTGGATAACTTGTCTACCAATAAAATTTATATGAAGCTTCACCAAATTTCAGATTCTGGTAAATTCCAGAGTTACTTCTACTACTAGTAAATACAGATTATCAGGAACTCCAATTGCCCATCTTTACTTACTAGTAGGTCAAGGATCCAGGGTGTTAGGGGCTCAAAGCCAGGAAAACGAATCCTCAAGTCTTTCAGTAGTCTGATGAGAACTTTAACTCTGAAAGTTAAGAGTGACCCAAAGGTTAAAAGCAATACAATCATGTATTTCCATGCCTAAGGTAGAGTTGAAGTTGACTATACAGTTTCCAGAACTATACATTCTCTGCTTTCTCTCAATCTTAATTTGCTTACTTAAGGTAAAAATCAAAATCCAAACAAAACATCACAGCCAAAATAGTTCTGTCAGAGGAAGTCTGGGGGTATCCTGCTATTCACTGCTGTTAGAAAGGTTATCTTAATCCAAATGGTCAGGGAGAGACTCACGTGGACTGAGAAGCATTTTCCTCAAACCAGCGGGCATGTCGGATGGCTGCTAAGGCACTCTGCAATACCTTGATATCCACTATAAGACAAGCATGATAGGCCAGGATGAAACATTTTCATTAAACAAGCTACTCAGTACTACTGCTACAGTCTAAAAACTTGGAAAGAGGACAGGATAACTCTGCAATTCTTGTTATTTTTTTGAGATGTAGTCTCGCTTGTCATCCAAGCTGGAGTACAGTGTCGCAATCTCAGCCCACTGCAACCTTCGCCTTCTGGGTTCAAACAATTCTCCTGCCTCAGCTTCCTGAGTAGCTGGAATTACAGGCACCCACCATCATGCCAGCTAACTTTTTTTATTTTAGTAGAGACAGGGTTTTACCATGTTGGACTGGCTGGTCTCAAACTCCTGACCTCAGGTGATCCACCCAGCTTGGTCTCCCGAAGTGCTGGAATTACAAGCGTAAGCCACTGCACCCAGCCAACTTTTCAATGCTTTAAGCCATCCCATGTTCCTCATATCAGCAAATCACATGCCTAAAAATCACTAGAACCATGTAAGATAAATGATTTTCTCCAAAAGCCTATCCCCCTCCATAAATATTTTCTCAGTCCTTTTTAAATCCTCCAGCTACTTTCTTGGTCACCCCATCTGAAAATTCCACTAGCAAATTTGGATAAAAAACTATTTCCAAATTACAGAGGGAGAGAGCAAAGTTCAGAGTAAACCTGAGTTCTTCAATTCCCAGAGAGCTGCATGTGGAATAGCAACAAGCTAAGTAAACAGCAACCATACCATGTTTTAAATATCCCCTAAATTTTCCAGTAACAGAAAAAAAAGAACTAACAATGGAGTTCTGGGTCCAGTTTTCGAAGATTGGGTGGCACTGTTGTAATGAGAATCTTCACTGTAGCATCAGAAGAACTGATTTCAAAGCCAGTTTCATTGGTCAGCATGGTTAAAACTGAAGGAACAGAATAAACAAAAAATATTACTCACATTTCCATTAGATGACCAAAGTTAACAAGTGATTTCTTAAAACAGCAAAAAGTCCACAATGAGAATTTAGAATAGAGCTTTAGAAATAAAGGAGATCAAACAGATTTTAAACACCTGAGGCCCCTGCCAAACACTCCCACAACTTAAAACTCTGCATTTACTCTTCCATCTGTTCTGACCTGATTTTGTTTAAAGTGTACTTATAATTACAAGATCTGATTCCTATGGCTACTAAATACATAACCAGCAACAAATGCAAACCTTCAGAAGGATCCTGTGCTCTTAGGCTTTCCACGACTTTGTTCCCCAGGGCAGCAACAGCTTCCACTATTTGACAGAAAAGGACATACTGTTATAATTTATTTACCTAGACTTTCTATACATCTCTAAGCTACTCTGCACTCTCATTTCTGTCCCATATCCAAGGCTGAAGCAAGCGTAAGTAATAAAATAAATACTTTTTTTTTTTGGAGATGGAGTTTCGCTCGTTACCCAGGCTGGAGTGCAATGGCGCGATCTCGGCTCACCGCAACCTCCGCCCCCTGGGTTCAGGCAATTCTCTGCCTCAGCCTCCTGAGTAGCTGGGATTACAGGCACGCGCCACCATGCCCAGCTAATTTTTTGTATTTTTAGTAGAGACGGGGTTTCACCATGTTGACCACGACGGTCTCGATCTCTTGACCTCGTGATCCACCCACCTCGGCCTCCCAAAGTGCTGGGATTACAGGCATGAGCCACCACGCCCGGCAAAATAAATACTTTTATAAGAGGAACTCAAGGCCTGGACAGAAGAATTGGAAGACTCAGGGAACAGGACTCCTCCTATACTCATATCCTCTTTTCTTCAGCAGGGTTTTCAGGTCAGTAGCACTAATAACATTTTGGACTAGATAAATCTTTGGAGAGTTGGGGTTGTAGGATGTTTAACAGCATCCATGGCCTCTACCCTCTTTCTTTTGTTGAGAAAGGGTCTCACTCTTTTACCCAGACTGCAGTACAGTGGCACAATCACAGCTCACTGCAGCCTCCGTCTGCGAGGCTCAAGCGAGCTTCCTGGGCTCAAGAGATCCTCCCACCTCAGACTGCTATTTGTTTGTTTTGTTTGTTTTTGAGACAGGGCCTCACTCTGTCACCCAGGCTGGAGTGCACTGGCGTAATCCCCGCTAACTCCAACCTCCGCCTCCCGGGTTCAAGCAACTCTCCTGCCTCAGCCTCCTGAGCAGCTGGGATTACAGATGCCCGCCACCATGCCTAGCTAATTTTTATATTTTTGGTAGAGACAGGGTTTTGCCATGCTGGCCAGTCTGGTCTTGAACTCCAGGCCTCAAATGCTTTGCCTGCCTTGGCCTCCCAAACAAAGTGTTGGGATTATGGGCATGAGCCATCACATCCCACCCCACCTCAGGCTTCTGAGTAGCTGGGACCACAGGCACACACCATGCATGGCTAATTTTTTTTCTTTTTGTAGGTATAGGGTCTATGTTACCTGAGCTGGTCAAATGAACTCCTGGAGTCAAGCCATCCTCCTGCCTCAGCCTCCCAAAGTGCTGGGATTATAGCCACCATAGCTGGCTTCTACCCTTTTTTGATGCCAATAGCACCCCCTTAACAACCAAAAGTGACTCCAGATACTGCCAGATAGCCCCTGGGTGGCAAAATTACCTCTGGTTGAAAACGTGGCCCTACAGTAACATGCTATACATTCATTCAGACACACACACTCCAGCATTTGTCCCTTATCACTCATATAACATTTCTCAGGCTGGGTGCAGTGGCTCACACCTGTAATCCCAGCACTTTGGGAGACCAAAGTAGGCAGATCACCTGGAGTCAGGAGTTCAAGACCAGACCGGCCAACACGGTGAAACCCGGTCTCTACTAAAAGTACAAAAATTAGCTGGGTGTAGTGGCATGTGCCTGTACTACGGAGGCCGAGGCAGAAGAATCATTAGAACCCAGGAGGCAGAGGATGCAGTGAACTAAGATTGCGCCACTGCACTACAGCAAGGGCAGGAAAGCAAGATCTGCCTCAAACAAACAAACAAAAATTTGTGTTACAAACATCCTTTCTCACAAGAAATTTGAGCTTTCAAGATCCTAAGGGGCAGGCACAATGGCTCACGCCTGTAATCCCAGCACTCTGGGAGGCTGAGGTGGGTAGATTGCTTGAGCTTAGGAGTTTGAGACCAGCACGGGCAACACAGTGAACTCCATTATCTACAGCAAATACAAAAATTAGCTGGGTGTAGTGGCACACATCTGTAGTCCCAGCTACTCAGGAGGCTGAGGCGGGAAGGTCACTTGCTGCAGTGGAGGTCAAGGCTACAGTGAGCCATGATAGCACCACTGCACTCCAGCCTAAGCAGCAGAGTGAGAATCTGTCTCAAAACATAACAAAAGATCCCTAAGGCCCGAATCCAAGTGCTATGTTCTGTTCCCATGACCAGAAACAGGCACACTCACATGTTGGCAGAATCTTGAGTATCACCACCAGGTCAGCCACATTGTGTCCTGTAGTCATCGTCCCCTTTTTATAGGATCCCACCTGTCGAACTTCTTCAATTTGCTGTTGGAAAAAGGATTTCGGGGTGGGGGGGCACAATTTAGTAGGAAAAAAGGTGCCTAGGTCCTCTCAGAACTGTTACAACATGGCTACCTATTACCCAAATTAGGAAACAACAGAGGTGAAACTCCCAAAACCACCACATGGAACCCTGATACATCACATCTAGCATAATAATGATACAAGTCTTATCCCCAAGAACAGTACTACAAGGAAATTCCACTGTACTTTCTCATTTTAGGCTTGGATTTGGGTAATAGACAACTGAAAATTAAATGTCAAGAGCCAAGGAAATGTCCACACTACCAAAGGTGCCCTTTCCTAAAACTAAATCATCAAAAACTCACCACTTCAAATGTCCCTGGAGCCACAATCAGATTGTCAATCACATTGTTTATTTTTGTCACCAGAGAAAGGATAGACGCCTGAAAAACAGCATGAAACAAAAATACTCGAAGGCGAAAAATTATAAGCAACTTCTCAGAGTTTGAATATTTTTTCCTAATCCCTTCCCTACAAGCTGACTCAATACTGACTGAAATAGGGCTTTAAAAACACTTCATTAAACCCTTGAATACATGGGAACAGAACAACTCTTTTCCCCGACAAAAATAAGAATGTGTATATAATCTGTTTATATATCCACCTGGCTCTCTCTACCCACAACGAGAAATAAAGAGAAAATTAAACCTTCTGTGGCTTTCAGGCTACCTTAACACCATTCTTACCCTTACCAACAGTTATTCTTTACCAATACTTTTAATTGTTTTAGAGACATATCTGGAAGACAGCCAAAAGAACATACCTGTTCAGCAGAATTGGGAGCCAGGTCCTGATTCCTCTTCAACAAGGCCTCACTGAAGGAAGTTTCATCAGGTGCTGGCTTGACCCGGGGGAAGGCCATTTCACACTAAACCAGAAATAAACAACTACATTCTATTTACCAAAAACAATACACAGGAAAGATTGTTTTCTCTGTTATTACAACAGAAAAAGTTAAAAATAGAAAATTCTATACTTGTTTTCACTCCTTAATTTGTTCAATTAGCTGGGCATGGTGGCTCACGCCTGTAATCCCAGCTACTTGGGAGGCTGAGGTGGGAGAATCACTTGAACACAGGAAGCAGAGGTTGCAGGGAGCCAAGATCGCACCACTGCCCTCCAGCCTAGGCAACAGAGTGAAACCCTGCCTCAAAAAATAAAAAAAAAAATTGTTCAAAGGCTGGGCTGGGTGGCTCACGCCTGTAAATCCCAGTACTTTGGGAGGCTGAGGTGGGCAGATCACTTGAGGTCATGAGTTCAAGACCAGCCTGGACACCAGTCTCTACTAAATAGAAATACAAAAATTAGCTGTGCATGGTGGTAGGCCTCCCAAGTAATCCCAGCTACTTGGGAGGCTGAGGCAGGAGGAGCTCTTGAACCCAGGAAGCAGAGGTTGCAGTGAGCCAAGATTGCACCAGCCTGGGTGATGGAGTGAGATGCCATCTAAAACAAACAAAAAAAAACCAAG